AATCCCGTTGTCGGTCACCGCGGGAGTAACACCCACCTGCCAAATGGAGGCAAAACCATGCAAGTGTTCCGGGTAGTGCCTTGGAGCCATGGGGCAAACTACGCGACCTGTGCGGATTTGAAAGAGGATGGCTAATCTTGTTGGATGATGTTGGATGGTTTGGACACGAAGAATGGCACAGGATGGCACAGGTTACAACGGATGAAATAAGTACAAGGCCAGCAAACGAAACCAAATAAGTGACTGTCAACATTAACTGCCTGCTGTCAACAGTTTTATGATTTGTTGAGTCCAGAAAAATCATTGAAAAATCTTTAAAACATGCATAAAATTGTGTGTTAAAAAGAAAGAAACGTAAAGCAACGTACCTATTTCATAAACCAAAACAAACAAAACATAAATAAACCATATTTTCTAGCTACTGGCCCACTCTCAATCCTAGAATTTCAGCATGTTTCTCAACCATCTCCAACACTGGTTGTTTTTGTTGATTGGAAGTCCATACAAAAGAAAACCTAGGATCTGCATGGATCTGCTAGGTTTCTCGGCCCACAGGTACGTCTGGAAGAACTTTTGGTGCAGCCGATGTTGGTGGCAAAACAGTAGCATCGTCCGGGAAAGGATCATCTCTTGCAGCCATACACCAACAAGAAACCGCGTCGCCAGTTGCTGAGCGGAGCTATCCTCTCCTCGGCATAGAAGCTCGAGGTTTCTCCGCATCTGCTTTCATCTCAGCGGCAGACTCCTCTTCATATGGTAGCTTTGATTCGTCAAGAGTTTACAATCTACGGAAGAGTTCTCAACCTATCTAGCCGTGTTCCCGGAGGCAACGTCCCGCCCCAAACGGAGGCAACGTCTCTTCAGCGAAAGAAAGGGCCTTTCCCTGGCCAAGTAGCTTGCAGAGGAAGTCCACCACGAAATGAATGCAGTTCTTTGGCTTCTGCTCCTGGCCAAAGAAAGGCGGCTGGCGGCTTACTCCCGCGAAACCCACCAAGCCGGTGGTTAGTGTTTGGGAGAAGGTGTCTGGGGTGTCTGTGAGGAAGGCAGATGGATTCATCAGGCGAAGCAAACAAAAAGCAATGAGAAGAATGGCATCGCAGGCAGTTGCAGGTGTTCAGTTGTTCTCAGCTGCGAGGGATATACCTAGACCCTCCCTGTTGGAGGCTTCTTTCATTTCCTTCGAGGCAACGGTAATGAGGTTGGTGAGGGGCACGTGATGAATTCCAGGCAAAGGTTGGCAGCCTATGGCCATGGGGTGAATTCAAAGGTTGAACATAGAACAAATTTCTTGAAAAGCACCCACCGCTGATGATGATTCGATAAAAACAAATGCGCACATGTTTGTTATTTGCCAAATTGATGTTCTGTTTGCTCAACAAGTGTCACCGTGGCATCAAAGATGGGCAAAAACAACCGTCACAGTGATGAAGCTCTAGGACCTAGGACTAGGGTGATGTTTGTTGTATGGTGTCGTATTTGATTGACGCGTATGGGCATCCGCCTTTTGCTACTCCAAGACAATACCCCAATCTGCTAGCCACCATCCACTGTTTGCATGGCAACCTGTGACTGGGCAGGGTGTGAAACAAGAACAGCCCACAAGAAAAACAAAGCATATACAGTACTTCGTATTTATCAAGAGTCCTGGCGTCCTGCCTTTGAACCAAGCTGAGTGCTGGTCCATCACGTCTGTGGCGCGTCCTCGATCTCCTGCGCCAAGCGCGTAAAGAGCTGAGACACCGCGGCCTGGGCGGCGCGGTAGATGTGCGCTCGCGCGGCGAGACCGCGTCGACGTCGGCGGCGGCCAAAGGGTGCCAGGTTGGCCCCAGGCTTTGGGGCACCGAACGATGCCTCTACGACCCCACTGAGTGCCCAACTTCGACCCCGCATCACCTGCTCAGACTCGCTGCAGCCTGTCTTGGGTGCCCTTCGTCTAAACCCGTGGATCTAGGACTCCCATGACTTCGGCCACCAAGACAGGTTCCATTCATTTCAATCGAAACGGAACCGCACCGAAGCCGTTCCCAGATCGGTTCCGAACGAACTACCGTACTGGTATCCAGAGTCTCCGGGCCCTCCAAAACGGGAAGAGAGGATGTTCTACAGTCAACTCCAACGCTCCCGTGCGCGAAAGCAGCCCCACAGCCCGACCTTGCCGGCCCCTCCCAAACCCCCAGGCGATTGGGAGGCGCCTTAGGATGTGCAGGACGCCCGTGGTTGAGTCAGGTCTGCTCGCTGGAGAAGGGTCCCATCGTCAGGTCCGGGCCGAAGGGGATTCGTACCACCGAGCCCAAGTTCGCCCGGCTTTTGGGACACCCCCGTTCCTCACCACTGGACGAGGCTATGTGTTTCTTTTCTTTGACACCTCGAACGGAAGGTCAGTTCCTGATCTCTTGCCACCTGGTTAAGAACGGACTCCTATGACTGTCGAACGGTCCTCCAAAGGGACGGACATCCGTCCGGACGCTTCTTCGGAAGGGCCGTCGAGGCACCATGGATCCACCTGCACCGCCTCCAGGCGCCTGGAAAGGAGTGGGCCAAACGAGGAGTGGGTTGAAAGAGGAAAAAGAACCCACTTGGATCAGGCACCAGGGGCTCGTTCGGTCTAATTCGGCTGCCAGGCTTGCTTTTGGAACCGACTTTGGTGGCAACTGGATCCACTATAAAATGCTTTTCAGGGATGCGCCACCACTGATTCTTCGATGGATCCACCACTATACCGCTCCGACCGGTCCCTCCAAACCGGAGGAATGGTTCGGCGAACCAAACTCTTGGGCGGTCAAAAAGGGAACCGGTCCCTCCTCGTGATTTCCGTGATGAGACGGGGGGGGTCGAAAAAGCACTCAATCTGGAGTCTTTTGAAGTTCGAATCCCGGACTTGGAAGGCTTCCAATCGCAAAAGAACCAGTTGTTTTACATTGTAACAAGGAATCACCAAAATTGCCGCTTCTATACTACTTCTATAGGGGTATGTCTTGATGATTTGGCTGCAAGATGCTGTCAAGGTGGCAATCATGCATGGAGTTCATCTCGAGATGGAGTTCACAGGCAGGGTAGCAATCATCAATACAAAGAGATTCCATCAACTTGAAATGACACTGCTTTATACGGTGGATTAGTCTCAATGCTGCCAACAACTGCGTTCTAACTGATTCAAGGTGAATATTGATATCTTCTCCTCCACGTGGTTGCTCAGTGCTTCATGTTCAGGATCGGAGTCTTCCCAAACTCCGGCTCCCTTCGGCTCCCCCAGAGGGTGCACCTTCTCTTCCTCCCGCCGCACCTGTGAGGGCTCATAGCCCATGGGCGGTGCCTCCATTCCCAAGCCTTGGTCTATGACAGGAGGTGGCAAAAGTGACGCGAGGTGGTCGGAAATCTGAACTGCACATACAATTCTGCCAGCATCCGACAAACAGGTCGCCAATGGGTTCGACCTGAATTGGGCCCTTCCCAACTCTCTGGGAGAGACCTGTAGAGTGGGATGCTGTGACGAAGAAAAGGCGATATTGCATGTACCTGGGCCCTCCAGTCACCACCCACCCATTGACTGTTCATTTCGGCCACCAAAAATCGGAGACCCGTTGTGAGTCGGCTGCTCAAAATCAACGTGGTCCGATGCCCGTTTCACCCCCACGTCGACCCTCCGTCCGTTTCACCCGTTTCGCCCAGGTTTCACCTATCTATACCAGCGGAAAAACCGTCTCAGCGCGGCACTTTGCATGTTACTGGCCATCGCTCATATGCAGGGCTCAACGAATGGCACAGCTATCTTTGAACGGCCAACGCTGGTCATGCGTCAACTGCATCACATCATGTTTCCGGAACGTTCTCCCTCCTTTTGATGTGTTGCATGTCGTGTTCCATATCTCCCAATGTTTGGAGTCGCATGGCCGTGGTACCCCTGCATTGAACCAAAAAACAGCTGTATACGTCGGCTCTTGGGTATTAGAAATGCATAAGACTCATTACCTCCACTTCAGGTTCACCGGCACCCTACAACATGCTACAACCACGCGAAGAGAAAGAAACACGCCAAACCAACTTGTTCTCCGAAGTAAGCACTCTTTGCAAAAAGGAAAAGGAAATTGGTGAAAACCGACATGGACCCGGACATTGTTATTCTCTCCAAATCAACAATTAATAGGATTTAATAGGTATATGCATGGCATAGTTGGTAGCTTTCCGTACCCGTCACTGTTCTTGAGACCTCCGGACCGCAAAACCTGGGGCCGGAAGGTCTCCCAGGTTTGCCTATTGCACCACCCACCTGTTGGCCGTCTGGAGCGTTTACGACCAGATGCCACTCCCGGATCGATCCCTCTCCAAGGACCGCCCTGCGGCGCGATCGATCGCCATGGGGTCCGACTGGCGCCGGGAGAAAGCGGAGGGAGGCCTGGGTGAACCCAGTCCCGTCCCAACTCTAACCCGGCAGCAGCTTGAAACCCCATGAAAGCCACCCCTTCCCGGTCCCTCCAAACCCTGGAGATTGGTGAGAAACCCCGGCCTTTAGAGAATTCGGGTCCAACCTCTGGGAAAGAGGATAAGACCGGAAGTGTTCCGGAAACTCCAGGGTAGCATGGCTTGTAGTATGTGGCGCTGTTCTTCAGGTCGCCCTCGACTGGACGTCGACCGGCCAACCAGGTTAGGCTTCGACGCCCTGCAGCCACCGATATTCACTTGTTAGGGTTCCAACCACCTCCTGAGAAGATGGTTGGGGTGGGTGCCAGGGGGGTCTAACCACCTTCTGAGGATATGGTTGGAGCCCTAGGGACTATTTCTCTTTTCGGTGTTGCGTCCTTACCCCGTGCATCTCTGACCCCGTCAGAGTCCGTTGAATCGGCAGAACCCTGATTGGTTGTCTTCGCTTTCGTCGCTGGTCTTCGGCTAAGACTACAGAGAGAATCATGTTGGAGGCCATCGCTATTTGGTTGGAGCGATTCACCTCACTCCCAGCCCGACGATAAACAGGTCTCCAGGCCTTGGAGGTCGAAGCCTTTTTCTGCCCAACGATCCCAACTGACTCACCCGAACACCTTTTTCTCGCTGGGAGCAAGCGCCCAAAAACCCGTCCGGGTTTCCAGAACCCGCGGTTTTTAAGGCGCCAAACGTGAAACGGAAGCCCGCTCAGGTGCTGCCCATCTTGCGGTAGACACCTCAAGGAGGATGCGGTGCGAGGGGGAGGATCGCAGGCGATGGGCGTTCCACCCAAGCCCAAAAGGACGTCCATTCGAGGGGTCGTTCGCTGCGCCTTGTAAGAAGAAGAAGGGCTAGGGCATCAAATTTTGGAGAGGACGTCTGCCTTGCGGGAGAAAGCACTTGAGATGACGTGTAGGAATCCCCTTGACCCAGCCGACGTCGATCGTTCTCACCTCCCGACCTTCGCTCGGAAGCCGGCTCCGCTTCTCCCGCTTCATCCTTGTACCGTGCCAGATCACCGCTGTCACCAAAACCAAGCCAACAGAGGTTGAAGGACCCTATAGACTATCCCAGTTCGGTACCCCAGCAGGGTCCTATTTACGGTCACTTAACCTCCCTTGGAGCCGTCACCCAAAACCACCACTTCTCGTTGCGCGGCGCCTCTCCGTCCGGACCCGTTAGAAGAACTCCCTCCATCTCCACCATGGGCTGCCCCGGCGGAGGTAGTCAACGTGCATCTGCACGGGAAAGGCGGTCATGGCTGCATCGCCTGCGGTTGGTTTCGCTGTTTCTTCTTGGTTTGAAGTGGCGAGGCGTGGTTTTCCTTTCAAGGGGACCACGGACGAGGGAGCTTCGACGAACAAGGGAGCTGAGAAAAGGGACCTCGAGATTTCGAGAGACCCCCGAATTGAAACGCAGAAAGAGGAAGAGCCGCCTCTTGAGAAGTTGAAGGTGAATCTGTGATCATTCGGAATCATTCGCATGTGAGTCATGTGAGTGACTTCGCTTGCCCTGTCCATCTCCCTACTCATGTGTCTCACTAGTCTCCAATCCATTCCACTCTTCCCACTCTTCCCACTCCGGTCCCAGCACCTCCCACCTCACTCGATCCGAACCCCGATCCGAACTCACTTCGAGCCGGATCCGACGTCGTCCGACCGCGCGGTGAATCGACCTCCCACGTGCCCGCCAATGGCCAGTCCCAGGATCAGGAAGAACTTCCTCGGAAGGTCGCGCGGTCTCGAGGAGGTGAGGAGGTGAGGTGCGGTGAGTGAGCTGGGAGGCAAGGGGAGATCGTGACTAGGGTGTAGTGACCTTTTCATGCAAAAGAACATGAGTCGTTTTCGGGTTGAGATCAGAGCTGGCAGCCACTTCGCCTGACACCGCGGGACACTGGATCCAGACTCAGCCTGACCCAGCGGATCACCGTCACCGTCACCATGAAGGTCAAAAAGCGACCCCATACGAAGGCACCAAACACTGAGGCACTGACGGGTGCTTGATTAGCAGGGAAGGAGGGTGGCTGAGGCCCGTATATATTCGAAGCACCATGAATTATATTATAATAATTGAATAGCCAGAATGCCGAACAGCCATTGCTTTACTGACCATTCGACACTTGAAGAAAAAAGGTCCAACCGGTTCTTAATGTCCATGGAAGGTTAGGGTCTGGATATCTTGGGATCCAGCCACCCCACGTCCGCCTACCAGCCCGTTTGGGTCTTTTTTATATGCCTGGATTTGTGGTTTACTGATGAAAAAAGGTAAAGTCTGCCTTCCCTTTGGCTGCTTTGTAGACGGCATATGGCATGACATGTTGCGCGACCTGTAGCCACCGGAAGATCCGGAGTTGGACCCAAGTTGAAAAAAGAAAAGGAACGCCGTAAAAACAGGACCCCGCACTTCGAGTGCTTCAGCCGTGTCCCTCCACCTGTCGTGTCACCTTCGGTCCGCCGACTCCGAAGGGGTTCCGCCGAAGGGACTTGTTCCGTGTGAAGGGGTTCGGCCAGGAGGTGCGCTGCGGATCCGCCACGCTCAGATCCACCTGGGCTTGCGCGTGCGGCGGACAGGTTCCCAGGAGCGAGGCGGAGGTGCTAGAGGTGGCTGCAGGTGGCTGCGGAGAGCAGACAACGGCCGAGCTCAAGGGGAAGTGTCCAGAGAACTCTTCCAACATCCCAAACCCTCTCCCTACTACCCCACTAGGACGTAGACAAAGACCTTTTGACACCAAGCAGAAGCTCCACGACCATCTCCCAGCGAACCGTCTCCGGACCTTCAAGAGGCTTTCGCCATCCACGCGGATCTCGATGAAACGCTCGTCCCACTCCAACTGCCAAATGTGATAATACCTGCCGATGGCCCCACGAAGCATTTCATGAAGCACTCCATGAAGCAAGGGAACCTTCATGTTTCACCACCGAAGGAGAGCAGAGGGAGGATGCAGTGGGAGTCTCCACTTGATTTGAAGACAGAGACTTGGTGAGTGGTTCAATGGAATCCCACCAACATGTCCACCCCTTCCACCAGAGTCACCAAAGGCCATGTGTGTCGAAACGCTCCCAACAATACCTCTAAGGAGTTGAACAGAACGGCAGACTGTCCATCGAGCGCACCCAGACCGACCCCAAGCCTTCCATTCAACTAAGGCCGCATGGATGACCTGGTTTGCATGGATGACCTGGTTTATTTAAAAAGAAGAAACATGTTCTTCGGCATTCAAGGGTCCGACCCCTACTCAGGCGCCTCACGGTTGCGTCTGGGTACACATCCACAGGCAGTTCTGCAAATTTACAGTTGAAATACCGGGACCTGATAGACAGCGAGGCCCATTAGCAAACCTCATTTTGATATTTTGAGGACCACCGCAGGAAAGGATATGGCAACCCTCTGCTGCAAACGCAGCCACCTCTTACCCCTGGTTCCTATGAGGAAAAGGTAGAAGATGGAGAAACTTGGAGCTTGATTACGATGCCCCACGAATCTAAGTCAAGCTCCCAGCATCTAGAGAAGATTAAGACTTCATAGCGGGAAAACCACTCCCGTTCGTGTCACCCTTTTCTCAACTTCCTGCGCGGCGGAGGTACCCACCACGACCCGTGGTCCAACCTTCGCACGGCCTTCGACTCGGCGGCCGGCCGAACGAGCGGCGCCGACGCAGCGGGGCACTTTTCCCAGTCGCGATCCACCATCCGAGCACCTAGACCGGGTGGAGCAGACCGAGTGGAGCAGCCGAGTGGAGGTTGACCAGTCGACCCGGGCGATGGACTGGTGTTTGGGTTCATGTCCCAGCTTAATTCTTGTTTCTGATAGCTTCTTGTTACTACTAGTCTAGGCCCTTGCTCCTAGTAGCGATGCACTTGTTCCAAGTAGCGTCCTTTGTTTCTATATAGAGTAATTTGGAGAGTCGAAGATGTTTTGGGGGATCCTTCATGTTTTTTGAGCCGAAATGTGGCACCTGCTACATGATCCTACAGACATCCTGCAGGAATCCAGTCACCCCCGAACACTGGAATTTGTGGTGTTGGTGTACTGCATATCTTACCCTAGCCTAGCCTTCCAAGATCGTTAAAGAATGATTGACCTGGCGTTGTAGTCTAAAATCCATGGTTGTCATCAGGTAAGAATAAGAACCATATACAATCTGAATCAATGGTGCTTTCAATCCTCGGCACAACTCTTCTCTGCCGTTCTGCTTAGGTCAGGGATCCTGGTGAGATGTTCAGCTGTGATGGCCTCACATGCTCAGCAAAACTTGGATCTCCCCCCGCACAACTGCCATCCACACAGTATTGATGCAGCCTCTATGTCGTGGTACCGAAAATACTTCCCGCTCAATCAAGAAACACTGGGCAACTGCGGCAAACACCGGTGTTTGAGAAAACGCGCAATGTAGTAATCTTAAACTAGTAAACTCCCCTCCATTTGGATTTAAAGTGTTTTCCTCCAGCTTCGACATGACCGGCTCTGCCGCACCAGCGCCACGCACCCGGCGCGTCCGCCGCTCACTCCCGCGACCGGCGGCGGTCTCCGCCTGCATGTTGGATGGCGCTACTGGCGAAGCCCGACTCGCCCGCGTGGGTCACCTCAGCGTGGACCCGCGATGGACCTGGTAAGTTCGAGCAATCACTGTGGTTCGATTGGTTGCTCAAAGAAAGGTTTTTTCTAAAGGGAAGACAATGACTACAATGACTCCAGGCCGAGCCGCTCTTAGGTTGAAGATTTCTACAGAAGAACCCTTCTTTCCAACGCTCCTTGGATCCTCAAGGACTCAATTCCTTGGATCTCTCCGAGATCTCTCCCCATAACCCCCGCGACTTTGGCATAGGGAGTCTGTGGATGTTGCGCAGAGATCGCACCCCCAAAAAACGCCAAAAAGGGTGGTCCAGGTGGATGAAAAAGGGAGGTGGCAGTGCTTCGATCATGAGTCCAGCTTGAATCTGATCGATGATGCAAGATGATGCAAGATGATCCAGGATCCTGAATGGCAACCCAACACTCTCCCGGCCTCTCACAGAGGCGGCTACCCCTTCCGTTTCTGATCCAACCGAGGGACGCTGGCTTTCACCGTCCGCTGGAAGGCATCTAAGATGTCGATCTCGCCGTTCTTGGGCCAGGGGACGAAGTCAAAGTCACCTCGGAACACGTCAGTTCCCCACCGAGGAAGAACCCTTGGGATGAACATCTATCGACTATATCTCATAGGTACCCCAGCAGGGTGTATACAAGGTCTAACCTCGGATGTTCAAGTGGTCGTGCTGGTCGCAGGATCCGTGGTCAACTGGAAAGGGGGCAGTGAGGCACACTGCTTCCTAGGCAGGAACATGCCGCGGCCATTCCATCATGGACTCAAGTTGCTTCTACTCCTACCTTGGGCTTCAAATATCGAACCTGCCGTTCCCCAGCGTGTATTCTGTAAGCAGGTATCTGGCAGCTACATCAAAAGCTATAAGACATACCGTAACCAAAAAACCACCCATCCCTTCGCACCCGCGGTGTCCGCCGCGCGAAACCCCGCGGAAGCGGTGTCCGCTGCACTCAGCGCCCGACCGACCGCCCACCAACTGGGCCAAGCGCCTGGGCTCGGCGCGCGCGACGTCCGACGTCCGGTGGCGGCGAAGACGGAGATCCATCCATTTCCCTAGGCTTCCAACCACTATAAAAATAATAGGCTTTAGTAAAACAACCATTTTACCTACTAAGGATTTTACACTACAAAAACCAGGTCAACCATGTTTTTAATGGTCTTTTTCAACTCTAGGGATTCGTTGCTGGGTGTCCATGGTATGCTGGCCCGGTTCAGTGACTCAGTATACGTTGCATGTAGCGAGAGTCCAGCAATTCGAGAGGCGACATGGAACTGCATGGAGCTTGTGCATCAGCGTGGTAAGCGTGGGCAGCGAACGATGGTGTGGGTTTGGGCCGAACCGGGTGGAACCTCGAACCGGTGTGACGAACGAGCAGAAACACAGGTCGAACGCCGTTCTACGGTGTTCGACTCGCAAGATTGTGCAGTGGTTGCCACCATCTGCGTAAACGTATTGGGAGTGGGTTCTTTAGATTCTTCCTACATAACATCTGACATCTGACTCACCAACTCTCCATGGCGCCTCATGGCTGTGTGTGTGTATCTCAGCTTGTGTCATTACACCCCACCACTGACGACCTGCATGGAGACCCCGAAAATACGCCTCCTTTCGGGGCGATCGCATACCAAACAAGATGATCAATCACCATGAATTGGTCGCATACCGAACAACATTCTTTCAATAATTACATAGCATGAACGAAGTGTACACTACCAGGTCGACCCCCTTGATGTTTGGGTCGAACAGAAGGCGAAGAGCATCGCGAAGAGCATCTCTCAGGTACAGTTCCCAGTTCCAGATCTCGCACCCACGTCGTGACCAATGGTTCGACCCCCTCCGCTTTCGGACAGTCGTCCCTTCCAGCATCCCCGACTGTCCACCTTGTCACCAATAGTTCGACCTAGCGCCCAAGAACCGGAAGAGACCTGTAGAATCCGATGCCTGGGGATTTTGTGGGGTGGGGAGCTTCCGACCGCCCTCGCGCGCAACTTAAATGCCTCGCGCCAGGCTCCTCGCGCCTGGTCGGGTGTCGATCTTGGCCCGGAGCTCGAACAAGCCATAGGAGAAGTCCTCAGACGTTCGGTAGAACCCAACGTCCGACGATGCCGCCCTGGCCGACCGCGCAGACCTGGGGAGGGTCCTCCACTCTCCCCTTGTTGGAATCTGGACCAGTGAGGCAAAAGAGAACTCGTTGAGTTGTTGGCAAACATGCCTTTACCCTACGACCATTAAAGGTTGAGCCTGGTTCTGAAGTCTAACATTCTTACTGACTTGTGCGGTTGTTGGGTTGGTAAGAATGTTCGAGCAATCTCCCAGTGCTTAAGCCGTCATCTTCCACAGCGTGGTGTGTACATCCCAGGAGTGCATTTTGGACCACTTGGCTCCCATCGGAAAAATACCAACCGTTGTAGTAATACGATGTGGCCAGACCGCGTTCTGGGGTCCGTCCTGCACCCCCGCGATGCAGAACATCAAGAGCCGCCACCACTTCCTGGACCATCCTGTCTGGGTGTCCTGGCTGGAGATCCAGTACTACAGCCAGGACACCCAGACAAGGATGGTCTCTTCAAGAAACAGAAACCACACCGGCGAAAACCCACCAAAACCCTCCCGCCCATCCGCCCATGAACGGTTCTTCCATCCTCGTCGCGCTGGCGCGCGCGCCCGCGCGACCCTCTCTCTCGTCGCTCGTCACCGCGCCTTCTTCCCGCGGGTCATCAGGCTCGCTGAGGTGAACTCTGCCGTGTGCGAGCAATCGCAGGCAGGACCCACCATGTCATCCTGCCTGCGCCGCGGGCCATCGCCGCGGGCCAAAGCGGTGACACACTGGGGACGCAAAGCTTGGAGGGGCTCTGGAAGACGCTGAGGCGAAGAACATCGGCACCGGCGGGCTTGGATTTGGCGGCTTGCTTCGGAACCCAGCAAAGAAACACGAACATGATGTGTCCCAACATTTTGGAGGAACCCAACATCACTGTGGGGAAGAAACCAACATCTCACACACAGGCGCCTTGAAACCGCACCCAGATGTCTCTGGGATCACAGATGTCCACCTTTTCGGGGTGCATCGAAACCACCGGTAGGTCCGGTAGGGTTCGATGGGCCGAAGACCGGTAGGTCAAAAGGTCAAAGGGTCAAGACCGGTATGGGTTTTGCCTCGACGATCGAACTCGTTCGGAGCTTGTGGAGAATGGGCAAAGGCTATGGAGCTGGTGGAGCTGTGACGATCCTGGTGACCTAACCGGTCGTCACAGATGGCTGTCGTTCAGCGAAGACGGGTCGTTCGTTCGTCTGGCGTCGAGACGCACATTCGACCGAACTCGTCGGAGTCCATCTTCCAACGATGCACCGATGTCGTGCCCTCAGCTGGCTGGCTTTATAGATGAAAAGACTGAGGTTGTTGCGCAGTTGGAAGATCCAAGTATATGAGCGCATATATATATATATATCCCATTACCAGGTTTCAGTGGATGATGATGGTTGGGTTTCAGGCCAACATCTCAAACATAGTGAAGCATCCAGACTTGATGCTCAAGAAATCGGGATGGTAACACTAAAAGAAAAGCCTGCTTTCGCGTCAGAGCGTCCAAAAGTATCTTTCATGTTAAGCCGATGTGAAATGTCTTCCCCAATCCCTCACAGCACCGATGCCATGCGCGTCGATGCCATTCGCAACCAGAGTCCCAACCCGCCCTGGGTGGACCCGAAAACGGAACCAACGGGCGACCCAGTGGCGCGACGCAGTGACATGCTCATCCCCTTGGCGTCCTCTGGAGGTCGCAGGGGTTATAGTACTGAAAGTAGGGCGGAGCACACACCGCACCTCATGAGCCCGGAGCACACGCATGTCGCTTCACCGGAATGTTTGTTTGTTTCAGTCCCAAGCAGGCAAGCCGCAAGCCGCAAGCACCGTAGCAGTGAGTGGCGGGATTCGGGGACCTGGTTTTACATGGATTGTCCATCCAATGACCACCCCTGCTGCTGGGTGCTGCTGGTAGCTTCTTAGGTTCTTTAGGAAGGAGCCTGGACCGGAGGACCTCAACCGGGAAGGTCACTCTTGGAACCCGTGCCTGGCTGGGTCGTCTCGCATAGGGCTTGGTTCGGGTCCGAAGCCCTGCTATGAAGGGTGGAAACTGACTATACGTTTCCCTTTAGTGAAGTAAAGGAAATTCCGGAAATCAGGTACCCTTGTCAGACCATTCTTTTTATCGTTGACTCCCAGGCTACATGGTTAAGTTCGGGATGCCGAACCCTTCAAAACCATGGCCGTGCCCATGCGAGCGCTCGTCCATCCGGTTCCAGACTCGCGCTGGTGGGCCAGACTCGGTCGACCGGTTAGGCGGTTCCAAACCGGAAGACCCTCCCCTAGAATTCCAACCACCCTGCAGTCACAGAGCTCGGGGTGCGATCCATGGAGGTTAGGTGCCCAGAACATCCACTCACTGGATGGGACTGAACACCACCCCCCTTTTGTGACTCCTGGACCTTGGTTTTCTGATGGTTGGAATCCCGAAGCACCATCGTTTGACTGAGGATGTTGCACTCTACAGTCTCTACAGTGTCCCCAGGAGTCGTTCCCGAGTCGTTATCCCCCGCGAGTCGTTGTAATGGTCCAAGCGGAAGGCAAGGCGAACCGGGCCCCCCGTCACCCCACACCGGTCTCACCGTTTCGGAGGGTGAGGAGCGGTGGACTCGGTCGAAAGGGCGATCACCAGCGACGACCGGAGGAGCACCCACCAGACCAGCTCGGTTTGGAAGACTCAGGCGATCACAACCAACGACTGAACAGGTCACTACACCCATGTGGCCGGGGTTTGGATGGGGAACCTTTCTAAACGCCGCCCTGAGCCCTGAGAAAGGCAAGAAATCCACCTCCCCCACGTTGAATTGAAAGTACCTGGACCTTCCAGTCGAATCACTCAATGGAGATCCACGTACGTGGTCAATTGAGTCTATTGGAGACCGTCAGGAAGGTGCTGGTACCTTCCTCGAAGAAACTCCATTTGCTCGGTTCTCCGGTCCATCTCATGCGGCACATGCGTCGTGTTTTCTGGCTTGGTTGGCTTTAAAGGGTGGGTGCGCCAGTGGAGAGGTTCGCCACCGGATGACCCGGAGGTGGGTGGTTCCGGTCGCATTGAAGCACTAAAACAACCGTGTTGGGGAGAGAGACTGGTCGCAAGAATCTCATATGACCCAACAAAATGAGACGACATGCCCGAAAGTGTGTACCCTTTTGAAGAGGACTTCTTGATCTAACTCTCTTTGTCTACTTGTCTACTTAGGGGTTTTCCAACGACAGGCCACGCTTCACCAGACCCCTCAAGCATTGAGGCCAGGCTGCAGCTTTGGTTGTCCAGCTTCTGCCCAGTCTGCTCTTTGTCACTCCACGCCACGGCGCGGCACTGAGACCCCTGGAGCGAGCTTGGTCATCGCTTGGTCGACGCGCGTGGCGAGCTGTTTGGTACGAGCACAAGCTGTTTGGCCACATCGACACATGAAGGTCTAGACTCACAATCCTTGGGTGAGACCATGGGGGTCGGACCCTCCAAGGATCTCTGGGCCCGAACCAAACCCTATGTCGTGTTTACATGTGTTTACCTGTATACCTGATGCCTGATTAGACTAACAGACCGTATACCTGTACCTGTCTTCGCAGGTACTTGATGGATATGCCACAGCCGCTGGTCGCTCAAAAACTGGGTGACTATGTGACCGGTCCGACTGGTACAGGTCGTAGTCCGTGGTCCAGGTCGTTTTGGGCACAACCGTGGCCTCGGGCTTTTCCCAAGGTTGTCGTTCTCGCTTGGCCGTGATCACCAGCTCCCCGTTCTTGCCTCGGAGGCGAAAAAGAGCTTCAGCGCGGAGGTCAGAGCGGAAGGGGAGAGAGGAGCATGGTGAGTATCCCCGGCCCTTGTGGGCTTCTTTTAGATGGGGATGTATCGCAAACTCTGGCCACGAACGGGCATAGTTAGTTATAAATTGTCGGTATATCAAGATCTATTGGATCGTTTTGGACCAATTTTACACTTCAAAACCTTGAACAGCACAACAAACATTACACCCAAACAAGTTCGCAAAGCCATAGAGGGGGCTATCTGACCTTCAACATGCAACTTTGGCAGCCTGCAATCGAATGGTCATAGCAACAATCCGCAACCGTTTTGCATGCCCCAACCCCCCCGAAGTTCTACCGTGAAGGAGACCACTTTTTGCTCCACTTGAGATGGATGTCTCATTTCTTCCATCTTCCGTGCAGGGTTTGTGACACGGCACGACCCCCCGCCCAGCTCGGCCACCCGGCACTGCCCCACTTCCCCGTGTACGTGGGCGCGCGCGCGCGTGGCGCGTGGAGCGAACAACTAAGCGCTGTCCAGGTGCATTCAGCATTTTCAGGCTGATACCATTGCAGCTCCTGTCGGCATGGTGTTGTCGACTCCATGCGGAGAGCACAGAGAACTTGCACGAGTTAGAGTTCGACGGAACTTGCAGCGCTTCCGAGCTTTCAAAGGGTCCAAGACGGTGCAAAAAAAAAGAGAGAATGAAGCCCAAGAGGGAACGAACTGTCCGGGGCTTCTTGGCGAAACCGTCGGGTGTCTGGACTACCATGGACTCCGCGAGGGCGCCCAGGTGCGATGTGTTCGTGCTGAAAAACCAGGTGGAGAAGGTGATCAATGGTGGCAGCCTCTTGGGCCACTTGACGTCTTCACTTGGCATCTTAGCCCTCCCCAGCTTCGCACTGCTTCGCAATGCTTCGCCCTGCTTCGCCCTGCGCCCTCTGCGGGGGCGGAAGGTTTGGTCCTTGCCACGCTTGTAGCCCACTTCAGCACCTAAGTGCTCAGACGTTGGGGGTCGAAGCTTGGGTGATGGTGGTTGGAGTGGGTGGCTCAAGCTTGGGGTCTATCGCATTCCCTGGGCCCAGTGGAGGATGATTCAGTTGCAGGACTTTCCATCTCAAACCATAGGAATCTGTTGATCGACTGTGACAGGGAATGAAACGCACACGAGCGCTTTGAGCTATGTAAGACTGGAAAACACCCCAACTTCAACGCCTCAAGAGAATGATCGCTGAAGTGGTTCCTACTCTACACGGATGTTGTGGGATAACATGGGATCGATGGGATGAAGACAGCCTTTTCTCAGATGTTTGAGATGGTTCATCCCCAACTTCATCCCGCGGACGGCTTCACGAAAAACTGCCATGAAACCTGGCTGTGCGCCTGACTCACAGCCCGGTTTGAAGCCAGGGGGAAGTCTCATTAAGTCGGTTCAATGGGGTTTGATATGGACACATCACTGCTGATGTGTCTAGTGGTTGCATGGCACTTGGAGGGACAAGAACACACCAGACACACAGGGCATCGTGGATATGATGGTTCCTGCGAGGAAAGAGCCAAGACCAGTTTGCCTTCCGTTTGACCATGTTTTCATGGTTGACCTGGTCTGTACGTAGCTGTTTTTCATGCTGGGTCAAACAACGGTCGTGGAAGGGATTCGCACTCTTAAACCAAGGGTGGGAATCCTGGGCAAAGAGATAGATTATACAGGTCCATATGATCAAAAAAACTGTCCAAAACATTCCAAAACACCTCTTTCAGCGTTTCTATGGGCTTTCTCTCCTTCCCAAAAACCCTCTGCAGGGCCACTCCCCCTCCCACCGACCCCCTCCCCCTCGCCACCAAGGAGCTCCAAAACTCGGGTGACGGGCGGCGGATGCCCCGACTGTCCACCACGCAGCTGTCCGAGTCGAATTGGTCCTCGCTTTCTTCGCGTCACGCCGTCCAGGGCGTCCAGTCGGCAGTCACTCACTCCAAGTCAGTCCGCGGGTGGAGTGGGACGCAGTGGATCCGAACAAAGATGGCCATGAGTTCCAATCCGGGATGGTTTGGTTTCGTCCCCATCCCAAAACACTCCTGGTCAGTGTGTGCCCTTGGGGCACTCCGACTTCTTTGGACGATCGATTTCTTCTTTGGACATCTCATGATCCGCCCACACTCACTCAGCCATTTCCTATGTCAAGGATTTCAAGCTGGCGCCATATTGAGTTCCAACCAGAACTGTTGATTGGGACTGGGTTTCCGGATGAAACTGCAAAGGTGAAGAGAACTTTCCAGTTGTTCCATCCTCTCCGCCGCCATCCTTTCGGACAGCTCCTACCGCAACTACCGAGAAAGGTCGAAAAGCGAACCCAAACGAGTGTCCCCAATTCTCGTTGAGTGGGGTGTCCCCCATTGTTCCCCCATTTGGCAGGTGAAAGGGCTTGGTCGATCCTCAGATCGGTGACCGATTTCGGCAGGTGAAGATATTTACGGAGCTGAAGGTGGCAGAGTTCTACTCCCAAGTTGCAGCAATCAGGCAAGGGACGCGAAAGCAAGCGTCCCATGGGCTGAGTCCGCCCAAAAAAAATATGACTCCATCGTAGCTTTGCCATGCTTTGGCCAATCAGAAGCGCCGGAAGATCCCAAAATGTATCAGATGTACCATCCAAAATCCTCTCTTTAAGATGACCATGCTGACTGGTTACACATGGTTACACCCTCACCGAGTGTATCGCCTGTAACTTCCACCTGTCCTCCCAGACCAGTTCCCAAATGGGTAAGCCTTCCGCCGCCTTGAGCCGATTCGGGTGGAGCTTGGAAGAGAGGCCTCCCTCCAATTCCAGTTGGGAGTTCCAGCATCCTCCCAAGTTGAGACCTCTTTTCTTAGGGCCCTTCCCAACGAGCCTTCACTTGGGAGACCCCCCTAGAGTTGGATGCTGCTTTAGGCCTTAAGAAGAGGAAGAAGTGGATTTAAGAACATCTGGAGCCCGGTCTGAAGCCAAACGCTGTTTCTCCGAGCTGGTCCCCCTCTCTTTTGGGGGCATTGTTTTCGGATCCATGAATTTCCATCCACGTGATACCATGGAAAACCCATTCCGGCCAGTCACCCATGTCTCTACAACGAAGACTGGCCTAGGATTCCAAGCACCATTGCAAAATTTCGGATGTGAGAGCCTTTCCCCTAAAAAAGAAGAACGTGGATTTTTACGGATGTTAGCACGACCAAAAACCAGGTCGGCACGACCTCTCTTCATGGTCGAACGCAAGGGTTTGGAGTAGATCTCTCCTACAGCACAGGGATGGCGGTCTTTTGGGGGGCGTGGGCCCTTCCAGCCCCGAATTGGCTCTACCACCCCCCCCCCGCACAGGGCGACACGTGAGACCTCAAAGAGCTTCATTCGGCATCAGTCCCCAGCCATGTGTCCTATATCCAGGAATCTTCATCATATGATGCAGGCATATGCGAACAAAATGCATGGGTGAGTATGCATGGTGAAGTCCGGTCCACGCAGTACCCCCACTCAACTTCGATCCGAATGACCCGCAGCTTGGCACTCCCTTCACTCCCCCCGACTGCGCGGGCCGCGGCCCGCGCCGCGCCACTCCCGCGCGCGCTGGCGGTCCCCACCGGCTCGGCGCGGCCCTTGCACTTGCCCACTGCCCAGGGTGCGCCTTAGCCGGCGTGGTGGGCTTCTTGAGGCTTCGGTGGGTGCAACACCAGGCGGAGGCGACCCGGAAACGCCCGGTGGTTTTGGGGGACACCCCCGAAGGACCTGAAACAAAAGGGACGCGAACCGGAGACCGAGGCCCCGTCACCGACCCGGACCGGACCGCCCGGACGCCACCCGCGAGCGCGTCGACCGCGACGGAGCCACACGCCGGAAGCGCCAGGTGCCACAGGCCGCTTGGAGAGATGGTTGGAACCGTCGCACGCGGTACGGGACCTGGGGTGTCCGGCACTTGGCGGTCCCGTAGGCGGGAACACAGGTCGCAGAGCTCCAGCCTGTGCAGGCAGAGACGACGACGACGAAAGTAAAAACTACTACTGCCCTGCTACTCCTACTGCTACTCCTCATTCGTGGCTTGCAGGCCTTTCTTCCTGTTACTGCTACTAGCTCGTCCCCAAGCCACTCACTGAGACGCTGAGTGAAAACCCCCCTTCCAGTTGGAACGGTGGGTCAGTGATCCCGTCGCCAGGAGGTCTCGGTCCGGCACTTGCTCCGCTGGAGACCGAACTTGACACTCCATGAGTCACTGGTTGACATGTTTGACATCATGGGACACCTTGGTTGACCACCGTTGACCTGCAGCGTACCATCAGAATCCTGGTCTTCGGTCAAGCAAGCGAGTTCTGCAGGGCGAGTGAGTGAGTTTCGGGCTCCGGGTGCCTTCGATGTCAAGGTAGACCCAATCCTGAACCTCCCCAAGTGGGTGGTTTTCATGGGCACCCCACCCCGAATGGGCCCTTTCCAGGGGCTAGCAGTAAAAGGCACCCCTAATGGGGGGACCCAGGATGATGGAAACGAGTCTCCGAGTTGGCAAACGATGACTGTAATGAAAGGAGTCTAGGGTGGAGATAGATCAGGTAGAAGAGTTCCGCCGATGTCCGAAAAAGAGCGAGATTGCACCATGTTTGAACATAGCCATCATTCACCTTCTTCAATAACAGCCTTTGCTCTGAGTTCTCCACTGGTCTGCACCTGCTCACTTGCTCCTTCATCCACACAATTGTGTTAACCGTTCTCAGCAAACATGGCAAAGAAAAATTCTGCTTGGTGGTTGAACCAGAAACAAAACACATCAGGAAAAAAAACCTCCAAAACAAGGCACCAGAAAGGACCTCCTTCAACCGCCCTTCTAGCACGCCGCCCCGCACCCGGGTCCTCCCCCCAAAAAACCATCGCGGGGTCGTGCCGGCGCTTCGGTCCCCACTCAGTCGTGGCGCCTGGAGCCTTGGGGTCCACCGCGGGACTCCCTGGGACGAACTCACACAGGCCTCGGCCGCCTCGGAGGCGCCCGGCGTTCGACCGGCGCTCCAATGGGAAGCTCCCGAGGTGGCGGACTGTTCCGGCCCGAGGTGAAGTTGGTTCTGACCAATGCTGTAGATTTAAAAGATGGAAGAGTTCAGGCTGAGGAAAGTTAAAGACTCTTCTGTTTTCAAAGTCAGGATCATCTGTGCCATATCAATCTCAGTGATCCCTTTTGAAGGGGTTCAGAAATGAGACCTTCACCTGGAGAATCACAAAAAAGGATACCCTAGAAGTCAAAAGACAATATGTTGCTTCCGTACAGTAGAGGAAGTTCCCTTTCAGGTACAGTGCCTTAAAGATCATTCTATTGATGGTCTTTGACTCCCAGGGGATAATAGACACTCCCTGGAACGTCCTCATGGTTATGTGAATGGCATGGCTCCAAAAGGATGACCATGTTCCGAAGACCCAAACAGGTGGTTTTCACTCCACTTCCATGAGCTATTTCCAAACAGTGTATCTCTTCCACAACCCTCCTGCGAAGCAAGAACAACGTCCAACTCTCGAACCTGGTCGCCAACCTTTGTGAGACGATCCATCCCACCCCGCACAGCCGCCACCGCGCCTTCGTAGGAGCAACAGCCGCTGGCCGCTCGGCTGGCGCACATCAGAGCGCACGCCCATTCGCTGAGGACCTTCGCATCTCCCCGGAGCGCCGTGACGTTGGCATTGGCCACGGCGCTCGGCTCATCCTGCGCAAGAAGTTGCCAGGCCGGTGAAGTTTGAAGACACACATCAAACACATCAAACAACACCAACCTGGTTGTTGATAAGCTGCCAAGTGGCAAATGAATATACTGGCTTGCCGTGAGGGTATGTCCTTGTTTGTGGGAAAGGGGCATTGAAAAAAATAAATAAATAAATAAACACACAGAAAGTGAGTACCTGCTTGGATACGGGCAATCAATAAATGTGTTTATGTGTATATAATACATGTATAGTATATATCATAACCATCCTGAAGTACCTAGAATTTCAGTGCAACTCAATCCCCCGGAACTCAACGAAATAATGCATAGAATATCGGGGTCCCTAAAATGATCTTCAGGATTGTGTTATCGACATCCCGTTGCCTCGATCGAAACACCCGCGCCAACGGACTTAGATATTCCAAGATATTCCAAGTACCCAAATGGATCCGCTTAGGAATATTCCAAGTATCTTTTTCGTTTGGTCAAAGCAGGATGCTTAGAATATGGAATTGAAGTGACGGAATGTACTTTGGCAGCTCAATTCCATACATAGTATATTAAGGACTTAAGGACGGTGGTACAATGGAATGGAGAATCCTGTTCTGAGCTAACATGTCCCCGCAATCCCGTCGCATGAGTTCCTCAAGACTGTTCTTACCCTTAACTTGGCTGCAAAACCAGGTTAAGTCTAGTCTTGATTGCCACATACTCCAGGGATAAACACACACACCTGCCAAATGTCCTGATGTTCACTTTCCGTTACCTAGAAAGCATGTTCAGTAAACTTCTATAAACCTATAACTAGTCAAAAAAAGGTCAGAAAAATGTTTGTATGCATCATATAAATGAATCACAAGCATTAAAAAAAGAAAAACTGTGCTGACCATGTTGCTGCTCTTCGTTCAACTGCGTATTTCAAGCGGTATTTGACCCCGGGGACAAGCAATCGATCAACCAAGTCAACACTCGACAGTGGACACGATCACTCTTCCGACGGCCACCTTGAAAAATGGACCAAGTTCCTGCCCCGTGGCAGGTTTTGATGGATGTGGATCGATTGTCCTTCTTCCAAGACGAAGCAAACCCGGCAGAACGCCACGCCCACCCGCCCGGTCCGACGGCTGGCCGAAGCGGTTCTCAGGCACCTGGTGGTGGGCCCACACTCGTGGGCTTCGGAGACGGAGAAGGAGGAGGTCGAGAAAAGAAGGATGGGGATGAAGTCTCTCTTATTTGAGACGAATGATGGAGGAGGGTTTCAAGAGTTCTCCCATGATTGTTAGAGCACGGGAGAACGAAACGAAGGTCAACAACAGTAGCACACGAGTTTCGCTCCAGCCGAAACACCCCAAACTCAACCATCAGCGGTGTCGTCACCAGGCGGCGTGTTGAGTGTCTCTCTATTCCTTCGGGTGTCACACTGACAACCCGAACAACCCCTGAAGAATGGGGCCATGGACGCCCGCGCGGCGCGCCGCGACCTAAACCGCAGGGATTCCCGTGGTCTCGGAGAAATGAGCACAAACACTCAAAAAAACGGGCTGAAACTACTGTAGAGATGTTCCATTTGACCAGGGGTCCCAAGGAAAAACCGCACCCTGTGCGTGAATTCAAGGAAAACAAATACCACCTCTCCCCCAAGACGTGTTGAAACGCTCAAGTTCTTCCTGACCGCGTTGACTTCAGACCCATCTGAAGACATTCACAGAACGACCACTCACTTCCCTCAGCTACGTGGCAGCCTCTCCGTGCCGGCGCATGTGGCGATGTCGCCTGCGCCGTGGACATCCACTGGTGTCTGGATAAACCCAGGAAATCTACAACAGCTGGGCATGAATCCTCCTAGCCTATCAGCCTATGAGGCAATGGCATCTAACATCGCAAGTTCACCTACAAGTGTTGCGTCTGGCAAAGCCTAACAATGCTGCTTTGAACACGGGGGCCTTTTAAATGAGACGCACGAACATCACAACACAGCCACAAGTTGGACTTCTTTGCCAGCATTCGGGAAGAAGCCCTGGCAGCTTCACCACTCCAGAGTCAAAGGAAAATTGAAATTGTAGTGACTACAATTGTCACCTTCCATTGCATGAAAGAAAGACGTTTTGCCCAATTCCACGGGGTGGACACCAGACGTTCGCCTCAAGCTGGCCACATGCCGCCTCACCAGACCTTGCTCTGGGGCGGAACCCCAGTTCGCCCTCTACTCGGAGACGTGGTGGATGGATGTCTTCCACCAGCTTTGTGGCGGGCGGTCGCGGTGAAGCCACGTTTCCAGCACTCTCAGCGCATCGTCAAGCCGATTCACTTCCATGAGCTGGTAAGCCAGTCTCAAAGGAATTGAAACAGAATGCCGCTGGTCGGCTGCAAGCTCTTGGGGATCTTTGCTGGGCTTCGGCCTTCGTCAGACTTCGGTCAACAGCCTGCAGGCCACACCATCGACTCACAGGGCCTTTGCACCTGAGGACCAACAGAATGCCTGGAAATGGACCTTGCCAAATTCCAAAGCTGAATGACATAGTCCCACAATCCTGCGACAAACCGTTGCAGCTGTTGTTTAGAGCGCCTCATCACCCAGGAACTGACAACATTGCAGCTCGGATCTGATCCAAACTCCGAGTCTTGAAGCAGTAGGACACCCGCCAACTCAGCAAATTGCTTGTCAATCATCCAGCCTCAGCCCGCAGAATTCACGCCTTCCGCACGACAACGCCTGGTTACCAGGGTTCGGAGCACTTGAACCCACTCTGAAGCCTGCCAGCATGTCAGCACGACAGCGCATCCCTGACCCTGACGTCCGCATCTCAGGGTAACAACGTGTCAACATGTAAGCGCGTCAGTGTGACACCACCATGCTAGGTGTCCACGCATCCGCTTGACAGCATCCTTTACAAAGCGCCAATGTCACACCATTCTCAGCATATCGACGTGACAACACCTCGGCACGTCAGCATGACAACATGTTAGCATGTCAGCAGAAACACACATCAGCATGACAGCACGTTTGCAAGTTAGCGTGACAAAGGCGCAGCATTTTGGAACGTCGACATGACAGCGCACACCATACGAACCTGATAGCCTGATGCAATGGCATGACAACATGCGGACAGGATGCCATGTCGGCACTTCACCACGACAGTGTCAGTGTCACAGCATGTCGACATAGCCGGAACCTGCTCCGGCCGCGCAGAGGAAATGGAAGCTGCGGCTTCCAGGTCTGAGCCCTCTGGTACCACGGAGGGGCCCAAGAGCATCCAAGACTCCTATCTTGAGAGACAGGACACACCGTTTTGATACTTGGTTTTACTTGGTGGTTGCAAAGGGGAAGGTGAGAGTGGTAAACCCAAGTCAGCGCACCATTCAAACAGCCCAGGAAAAGATGTGTTTCGAACGTCGACTGCACATGTCGAACGGAATGATCACGTCCAAATGCCTCCGAACGCGTTCGATGTCCAACGAAAGAAAGGGAGATCGACATGAAACACTGAAAAAGAATGGTCTGACTAGGGTGCCTGAAAAGGAATGTCCTTTACTTTACTACCAGCACCCTCCAACAGGTCTCCTCTAGAGGGTTGTTGGGCAATAACAGGTCTCAATTGATGCCCTGTTGGAGGGTGGTATAGAAAAGTCTTTGGACTTCGAGGGCTGAGGGAGAGTTCATCGATCGGAAGTGGCAACCGTCGGACAGATCCACACCCAACTGCCAGAGAGGTGGTCATCGCAGCATGTTTGCCCACTCCGGTCCCTTGCGGCGGGTGGACTTCTTACGAAGCAAAGCACCTTGGTCGCCCTCGAAGATCGGCCTGTTCGGCCACTTCCTCACCAACTTCCTCTCCAGTCCATCCAAGTTCAGCCTTGACCTGGAATTCTTTCATCTCTGTCCCTTCTCTGGCTATGGAATCGATCAAAAAGTTGAAACTTCTCCCCTCATCAACTCATCGACTTCCATCTCATCCCATGTCATCCCACATCACCGAATTCGTCGGAGTTCGCCTCTGCGTCTCTCCGCCCTGTTCGCCCTGCATGAGTTGCGTGGGGCGCAAACGTGTGGACGGGGTGGCAGGGAGGTGTCGGAGGTGGGAGGGGCTTTGCTTTGGACAGCTCTCCTCTAGTGGAATTTGGAAGACTTTTAAAGTGGCAGGTGGTGAATCCCAGACAGATTTCTCACAGTAAGGTATATAGTTTGCTTCGATCGACAATTCCTTGAAAGGTCTCCACCTGCCCTAAAAGGGCAGGCGCTCGGGTCCGGTGACGCCGAATTTTTGTTGGGTGCTTCTGATTCGTCCAGTTCGCCCCTTGCGCGGGACCTGTGGCCCCGGAGTTTCTTCATAAACAACTTCCAGGACATTCCACTCACAAAGGTGGCTGATCCCTGATGATCCCGGGATTGGAAGAAAGAGTGTCCCACTCACCAAGTTAGGTTTATCGTGGTTTATCGGATTGGAAATCCGTATATCTGATGATCAGCTGCACGTCAAACATGATCATCATCCCAATCTGTTTGGGTGCTCTACAACAGGGACAGCATGCCTTGGCTGGCTGGAAGTTAAGGAAGGAACCAAGAAAAATGCCCAATGAAATCCAAAGCATGTTCAATCCACCAGGAGTCACAAAGGGGTGGTTTTTAGCCTGGGCACCCTTATCCTCCAAGTTCGGCACCGACATGTGACTCCTGGCATTGATGACTTCTTGGAAAAGTATAGGATGTGGTAAAAGGATGTACACTCCCAAACATGGAAGTGGACAATGGCCACCCAAAAGAAAGGATCCTTTTCCTCTACAAACAGTGGGTTTTCCAGAGGGTACAATGTCATATCTCGTGTCCGGCATTCAATGCCTGCCCTCGTCACCGGTCGCAGGACACACATTCAATGCATGCCTCATGCAGCTTGTGCAAGCTCGGGCTCCATGATCTGGGTGTTTTGTGGGTCCAACATGGTCCAATTGTCACTCTTGGGATACCGCTCTCCACAGACTTGAATTGCAACCCTCATTCCGGCCCGCGCAGGGCACCCTGCCCAAACGAACACTGGACGTTCCGTCCACCAGGCCCTGCGTGCTCGTGCCAACTCGACGCTGAGCTTCCCAACCAGCACCAAGCACAGTGGCACCAGGCACAGCCGGAGCCCGGCTGTGCCCTGGAGCACGCGTGGAAGTGGCGTGGAGAAGCGGAGTCATGGCACTACTGCCAGGAGTCACGGAGGGGTGGTGTTTAGTCCCATCCAGTGAGTGGATAGTGGGCAACCCTATCCTCCATTTAAAATTTCTTTTGGAACTGCTGGTGCACAGTGGTCGTTGTGTTGTTCCTTTCATTCTTCGGATGGCCAGCAGTTCCTACTCTTCGCAAACGCCACATCACGTCCTTGAAGTCTTCGGAAAGGACACCGGAGCAGCTCCGAACCGGGGTGCGTTTCGCCCCGCTTCGCCACCGGTTCTGGGGGTATCCAACCCCCGCCGGCTCGTCCGATCGGAGAGGCGAGAGGAGAGGACCGGGTCGTCGTCTCGGCAGGTCGGCAGGCGCGGTGGAGACGAAACAAGCCTCGCCGTTGGCGACGAGAAAATGGAAAGAACGAAAACCTCGTTATGAGTACTCATGAGTCCAGCTTATACCGTCGAAAACCGTCTAAAGAAGGCGGCGAACGTCCCTTCCAAGCGATTTCGCACTGTTCTCGTCACCAAACCCCCCGACGCCTTCATCACTAGCTCGCCTCGGGGCGTGGCTCCACTCCAGTGGCATCCCAGGAACCGGGAGCCACTCGGAGCCGTGTTCTGCTTTCTCACATGTCTCACATGGAACTGGAGGGCACCCACCTGTTTAGTCAAGGGGGGCCAGTGAGTAAGTCGTCTTCACCGTTGTCCCATCCACGTCCACTTCCGGACCGTAAAAAAAAAAGGTTGAAAAAACGTTGATTCGGTCACCGGCCACCGCCCTTCTTCTCGTTCTCACCCCCCGTCTCGACGGCTTCGTTCGTCCACCTTTCGGTCCACCGCGCTGGCAAAGGCCGACAGAGCGGATGGACGGAGCCGACCTCCGACCTCCGACTAACACGTCGGAGGTCGGAGTCCGTGGCAGGTCGGAGTCACCGAAAAGGAGAGATCCAAAAGGTCCGGTAGATCGGGCGGCATTGGGCATTCCCACACCCAGAAAAGAAAAAGAAGGGGCTGTCTCAAGGAGTGGCCTCGTAGGCCGACATGAAATTCGAAAAAAAGAATAAAAGGTATTCCGACCACACTCCTGAGATCATCCTTTTTGGAGCTTCTTCGGAACCCACGGAAGGCACCAAAACACCGGTGAAGTGGACCACCTAACGGGCGAGAGTGTGATTGTGTTGCAAAGGTGCATCTCTTCTTTTTCGGCTGGGCGATCTTGAAGTAATGTTAGACTCATATCAATCCCTCCAAGCCTGAAGAGGTTAGCTTCATGTACAGATGCCATACAACGGGCCATCCGTCTGAGACATTCTGTTGTAACCGAGACGCTGGAGGTCTGTTTGTGTGCGTGTGTGCACGCGCTCCATATGAAGTGTTTACAGCAAAAATCGTGCAATCCATTTCTGGAGGAGGTTTGATTCATCAAGAGTCTACATGACGTCTCTCGCTGCCGCTGGCCGAGGCACAGTCACTCCGCTGCCGGGCCGCAGCTGCTCGCGCTTTAGACCGCGCTCGGAGGATCTTTTGGATCGAAGATGAATGGACCAGAACCACGTACCATTTGAGCCATCACAGCTCCTGATGGCATGCCATTCATCACCTCGTATTCAATCATTGACCCGGACACGACGGGTGAAACGACCATGTATACCGTATACCATATATACCAGGACCACGGAAAGGGTGGTTTATGGACACCCCTGACTATGTATTTTCCATCCAATAACCACCCCTTCCGTGGTCCTGGTATTCTTCAGTTCGTGACCGGAACTTGATCTCCCAGTTGCTTCGGTCACACGTGGGCAGGGTCGCTTGGCCTGTGTCAAACAGGTCACTGGTTCGGACGAGCCAGGGTCGCGAACTGAAGAATTGCTGGTCGCCTTTGGGATCTGATCATCAACCCATCCGACCCAACCCATCCAGCCCAACGACCCAACATCCCCAACACATGCAATCTGAGGTGAAGTGTTTCCTTCCAAAGGATCCAACCGCCTCGCCCTCTGAGCAGGGCAGTATTTGGAAAAGAAGAATTCGCCTTCCGCTCAGGGATCTGTGGTGGGTGATATCAGTGATATTTGGAATAGAACCTTCCATGTGGTGGTATTTGGTGGGTTACCTTGTGAAACACTCAACCGCCTTGGCAAAAGGGTGCCTTTTCTCTTGCCTTCAGCAGGAGACTTTCACAGAGCGCTGTCTCTGGCTTTCCAAAAACCTTTGGGCCTCTGGGCTAGAGGAATCTGACATTCATGAGAAAGGCCCCATGTTCCTCGTGATCAGTCGAGGCCGGAAACCCGGCCCAAACGAGGCACGAGGCACTCGCGGCCTCCTAAAACATCTAAAGCCTCATCCTGTATGCTTTCCAATCCAGGTTCTTGGCCACCTGCCACAGCCTGCCACAACCTGCCACCTATCACATCCCTTGAAGTGCAAAGGACAAGCTTTCTAAAGACCCTAAAGATCTAGAACTGATCCGACCCCTGTCCCTCAAAACTGAAGAATCAATCTTTGGTTGTCCGGTTGCTCCTCAGAACTTGATAAATCATGACTTGGGGCAGCACCACGAGCAGCGTCTACAGCCCCCAGCCGGCCTCCCGTCCCTGGAGAACACGCAGCCCACGCCCGCCCTCCCGACGCACATCCTTTTGCCCCCAAACTCGTTGGATCCCACCGCACGCGACTAGGTGGAGTGATGGGAGAAGTCTGCGTGAGGACCTTGGACCTTGACCCACCGATGAAGAAACAGGCCAACCCAAAGCTGCACCGATCATGTGGTGTCCGGTGATGTATGAGGTGGCGGCCTCCCGGAACGATCCAAATGGAAGAACCGATCCAAGTGGTCATGGATGGAAGTGCTGTGCTGCCTCCCGTCGTTTGTACAAGGAAACACCACAGCATGGTGGTGGAAAAGGCCTAATGTGATGTGGCAGACCTCGTGGTTTTGAGGTCTGTCAGAAAACCGCTGGAGTTGCCTCGACTCAGTCTTCGTCGTGTAGAAAACGTGTAATTCACAAAGAAAGGATGGAATTTGTTGGACCAAACAACTGAACATCAGTGCTCCCTGCTTGCTGTTTTGGTCCACATGCACTGACCGGACGGCTGGACGGCTGGACGATTCGCTGGGCGAATCGAAGAAATGCATGTTCGTGAACCCTTTGTGAGATACCAATTGCTTAGAGGATTGAAGAAACAACTGTCTTTCACATGTTCACTGCAAATTTAGGAGTGTGCCAAGATTTTCACGCCTGGTTGATTCTCCCAAACTCGAATCCTGTTTCGCCCGTGGCGAAACGACACCCCAGTTCACCACAGATCGAGCAAGGCCGCGGGCTCTCGATCCCGAAGTAGGAACCTGCGCGGAATGAACTTATCTGACCATCAAGAAGCACAAAAAGAGGACCCCCTTGAATGTGTTCATCCGAATCAATCCACAAGGTCTCCAGTCTCCACGAAATCGTGTCCCTTCTCCAGGCACCTTCATTCACGGCCACAGTGCTCTCGGCTCCACCACCATCGGCGCGACCGGCTCCACTACCCGCACCGCGCTGGGCCGAGCCGCCGCACTCCGCCGCTCGGCGGCGAGTTGATCCTGGGGGGCGGAGCCGGAGGATCTTCCGTTCGTGACCGAACTTGATGCCCTGGTTGGTTCGGTCACGTATATATACAGTACCAGGACCTTCCAACAGGTGGTTTTAGAAGCCTAACAGGTGGTTTCTGGGCACCTGTTGTCACCAGGAAACAGCTGTTGGAGGGTGCTGGTATAGGCATTGTATTTTAGGTCACCAAGAGGGACTCCAAAAGTTCGGTCACTGGCAAGGTCCTGAGTCGTGGCAGAACTTAGAAGTGGTGCTCATCAGCTCCTCCGGGTTGGTGGTGCTTTGGCGGATCGCGCCGTCCCTTTTTTTTGGGGGGAACCACATATCGAGAGGGTGCGCGGGCGGGACCCTTCGCAGACCGGACTCATTGCCACGGTCGATCGAGGCGGATGAGGCGAAGAGCCGATTCGAGGCGATTCGCAACGACCCAGCGATTCGCGCGGACTGAAGAGTTCCTGTCGATCTCTGAAATCCCACCTGTCAGGTGAGAAAGGAGCTGCTTTCGATGAAAGGTGCAACGAGAACCCCTTCCGCCTTCCTCCTCCTAGACCAACTGGCTTGGTCCGGAGAGTCTGTCAATATCTACATCTTCCCAGCCTTCCAAGTCACCTCAAGAGGGGTAGCCTCACGTCTCAGGTCCTACAGGTCCCACGTCACATCGGCAGGTCGAGATGGTCGAGTCCCGTTGGCTCGGTGCTCCTGTTGGCCCGTTGGAACACATGTCCTGCAGACGCAGACGCCCCTGACGCAGACGCCCCAGTGCACTCCAAGGTGGAAGGGCGAGTTCGCAGCGTGAAGAAAAGGTGGCGCAGGAAGCACAATGTGCATCAAGGCTGAAACCCGCTGCCCCCAAAGCAGCATCGAACGGACCGCATTAGTTGGCCATGTTGAATCGATAGTGACGCCAGGTTGCTGGGCAACTGCTGGCTTGTTCTGGTTGCGCCGTTGGTATAGCTGGGACAAAGCTGCTCCCCGTCAGCCAAGCATGTTCCTCGGATACTGCCTCCGAGGAGGCACGAGGAATTGGCCGCCAAAGGACGCCCCTCAGAGACCCGCCCCGCACCGACCGGGGAAGGTGTTTGGACCCTCCTGGCACCTCAGTCCACATGTTCAGAAGGTACGACTGGAGGGATTGTAATTGTCTCCAGCTTCACCCTCTTCAGGGACCTCACCAATATCCAAGTCCCACAGTTTGGACATCGTAATTACACCACTGGTCAGATGAAAGTGGGGCCCGGTTTCCATGTCTAGGACCCCGGAAACATTGTTCCTAGAAACGTTTCCGGGGTCGACCTACTACTACGAACAAGAAGCTACGATCGGGGCTCGGCATCGCTACTAAGAGCAAGGACGCTACGATCGGGGCTCCTGGCAAATGCGAAGAAAAAACACCGTTTCGACCATCTCAGCCTCCCTCATGTCCTGTAGTTCTTGGATCTGCCGGGTGAAAGTCTCTTTGGACTTCGCCTGGTCAACGGCCCAGTCACGGGTCCCAAATCACGATCCCTCGAGCTCGCTTCACAGGGTGGATGTCACTGGGGCGGTTGCTTCTCCCCGGACGGAGAACGGAACGGATGGAAGCTCCCAAGGATCCCAATGGGCTTCCAGCCTTGCAGCTGTTCAGTGTCGGTTCCGAAAAAGCTCCCTTCGGTTCCTTGTTCCGTTCGTAAGGCCAGGAGCCCCGTTCGTAGTGCCCTTTGCTCCGTTCGTAGCGATGCCCTTTGCTCCGTTCGTAGCGTCTTCTACCCCTTATTCCCATGCAAAGAAGTGAGCTATATACCATCAGGACATCTTTGGGGCGCAGGCTCTCAACTGCCTGGCACAGCTGCCTTCTGAGAGGGGGGGCGTCCTGCCAACTTGCACTTACCTGACACAACTCCATCCTTTGTCAAGGTCCAGTAATTTGAATTCTTTTCTTGCCAAGTGGATTCCAGTGTCACTAGAATAGTTCACCAAAACCGTAGACTGACAGTGGCTGCCAAGTGGACCATCCCAAGCTCAGCAGCATTCGAAGCGTGAACAAATGCATGGCGTTCGCTCAAAAGAAAATGCTTTACCCAGGAGTCACAGAGCTCGGGGTGGTGTTCAGTCCCATCCAGTGAGTGGATGTTCTGGGCACCTGAGACCCATGGACCCGTTCCGAGATGAAGTGACTACTTCCACTAAGCCTGTCAGACCGAACCTCAAACCCTTCATGACCGGTTGGTCTTTCGTACGAACCTCATGTATCTGTTCTTCATAAACCTCCCTCATTGGGATACACGCACTTGCGGTTTTGCCCCCCGTGACGGGTATCGGTGGGCCTCCACAGGTCAACTGGGATTGAAGAACCTCTTCACATGAGGTGTTTATAGATTAAGATCCGTCCTACATTAAACGAACCGTAGGCCTCCAAAAAGTCGAGTCAAAGGCTATTTTACAGGTCTGACGAACGAGTACAAACACCTCATTTCGGAGGACGTCCTCCACTGTCACCAAGGAAAACGTCTGTCGAACTGGACGTCGACGTAGGGTTCCTGTTTTTCTACTCGCCTTAGACCGGTGCCACCGCGTGGGTGACCTCCCGTCCGGGTCCAAGAGAACGGAACTGAGTTCCGTTGAACCCGTTGGCCTAGCAACCAGGGGTAGAAGGGTAGGAGACCAACACACTCGAGCTAGCTAGTTGAGCGATACTTAAGAGGGAATGCTGGAATGCTAGTGACTCGGAAGTGATCAAAAAGATCTTCTACCGATGACAGCCAAACGAGTTGCTAAGTTTGCTACACAGAGCGACAGCCAAACGTACATACACCGAGCAAAAGGCCGTGTGAAACAGCACTGAAGTGTTGTTTTGGCAGACCTCCAAGCTCTTACACTGCGAGAGTTGCTCCGCGGCTCGCGGAGGAACGAACGTAGACGTCCGATTCGCGTCGGGGCGAGCGAAGCGCCTCCAGCACCAGAGCCTGGCCGCTCCGGAGATCGGGGTGCGGCAACAGGCAGGTGATCGAATGAAGCTGCTGGATGGTTAGCCAGGTGATCCCGAAGTGAAGCCAGGTGTCCAAATTCCTTCGTCTTCGACCGTTCTGACTCCGGATGTCCAGCGCCGCGCCCACCGGTGCGGTTCGCTCGACTCGGGGACCCGATCTGTCGTATCTCCCTGACACGGTTTAAAGGCAAAAAGAATAGTCTGACCAACGGGTATACACCTGATTTCGGGAATCTTCCTTTACTTGACTAAGGAACAGTATAGTCGAACTGGACTTCTATAGGGAATCTTATAACTTTGTGGCAGAAACCAAATCTCAACGCGACCCCTAAAAGCACCGGCGACACAAACTCGGCACCCGGAGGCCCAACGTCCGTCTCTCTCCCTCTCTCTCTGCAACACGAAGCGCCTTCGAAAAGAAGAAAGGAACACATCTGCTGAATTTCTCCGGATTTTTAGGTCGAAGAAAAGGACAGAGTTCCAGCTCAGATCACTCCTTTTTCGTTTGATCCGTCTCTCTCCTGTCTTTTGCCTTGGTTCACCCCCCACTTACTGTAATTCTTCTTCGATGCCCATCCTTCATCTGGTCTTCAAGGGGACTTTGATGAAGACTGATAGTCTTCAAGTGCCACCCTATATGGCACCTCAAAGCACTTCAGCCCAAAGTATCCAGGCAAAACACGAGCGTTCGTAGGTCGCCAGTGGTTCCAAAGACTTAAACCGTCGACCGAACGCCCCTGGTTCCGCAAAGAGATAGAGATACCTGGGATTCACTGGGGGTGTGTGTGTGTGTGTGCGTGTGTGTGTGTGTCCCGAAGAGATTCAATACCCTGCCTGGTCTTCATAAATCAACTTGTCCTTTCAACCCTGTTCCAAAGACAACCCGGTGGTTTCCGAGATCCAGGTGACTTTGCCGGGGAGTACCAGTCAGCGGAATAAAAAAACCTTGCCTGTATCAGTAGCCTTTGGATCAGTGATGTTTCTAAAGGTTTGGTCCCCAAAAAACTCACTGACTGCTCCTTCCTCAAAAGCTCCGGAATCAGTGGTGGACGCGGTCGAGAAATCGCCACCGATTCTGGGGGCCGCTGGCTGAAACGGCACCGTTCGCCGCTCCGAACCAGCTCCGGCGGAGGGGGGCCTCTTGCAGCTCGTTGAGTTGACAGACAGCCAAGGCCATCTGCTCCTGGTCTGCTGCACTGCGAGCTGGTCTGGTCTGGTCTGGTCTGGTCTGGTCTGCTGCAGTTTCAAGACTACGTAGGGATTGATGCTAGCCTTGTGTCCACCGGAGGTGGCTTTATTGTAGAAATCCAAAAACTTGAAAAAAAAAAAAAGGAGCAAACTAAAAAGGCACCAGCAAAACAAAGAGCAACCAAGAAAGCAAAAAAAACAACCAAAAGTGCAACCAAAAAAGCACAAGCAAAACAAAAAGCAACCAAGAAAGCAAAAAAACAAACAATTAAAAAAGCAACCAAAAGTGCAACCAAAAAAACACAAGCAAAACAAAGAGCGACGTTGGGGCCAGTTAGACATCCTAAACTATACAATATAATTAATAGTGCAAAAAGGTTGGTGGGTGGATCCAGATATGATATGATTAGATTGGAATTCCAATGGTTCAAATAATATGATTGGAGTCATTGGATGGTTTCTCACCTTGCGCAGTAGCTGTGAGCGACTGGGTGGACTCTACACTCTACACCCGTCCAAAAAAGATCTGGGGTGTCTGACTCAGCCGGGCTTTCTAGTGCACTTTCGCACTTTCCGAAGCGCTTTTGGGAAGGGTCCACTTTCTGGCGCCCTTTCTGGTGCACTTTTGGGGGAGGGT